TCGAACTCACATGCGTTCTTTAGCCTTATCATACTAATGTAAAATACGTTAAGTGAACAAGTCTTTAATCGACGGGTATCTGTAAAAATTATGGATACCTATTCTAGACTGCTACTTTTGTTTTCAAGTGGAATATATAGCCTTTTTGTGGATACGGACTTCTATGATTATTTTGATTTTTTACTCATACAAGATGTTTTACATCTAAATGTCGAGGTAGGTAAGAGTAATTTTTGAGTATGCGTTGAATGTGCGAATCATACAGACATACTTGCTTTTAATTATAAAAAACAAAGATTGTTACTTTGATACTTACGTGTAAAATATGTTTTATAGTTAAAAAACGAAGTAACCTTGGGCGTCCGCAGCTTTTTACATATACCCATAGCAACTATAATTATTTTTCAAGGATAATCGATTACTACGGAAACGATCTATCTTATTTATTTCTACATTTCGAACAAAATTGCTTTTTGTGTTTTGCTTTCCTTAATAAGCTTGTTGTACATATTCATCATATCTAGAACAGGTCTCATCGCACTATTAGATATCTCGATTACTTCACAAACATTAATATTGTTTATTTTCCAAAGTTATAAATTGATCAATTCACGCTTGTTTATGTTGATCGTATGATGACTAAATCGTCCTTGACATCTTGAAAATAAATTTTTCTCTGAGCTAAAATCAAGAACTGTACTATTTAAAATATTTACACATGTCTTTCAGTCATTCAAATTTCGAACGAAACTTTGGAATGTTCTAGAACAGTCTAAGTCGTGTTGTTCATGCCTTTCTGCATTTTCATTCATTAATTAGTCTTGAATCATACGTCTGACAGCATACTAACTACGTTGTGACATACGCCTACTCTTGCAGTTAGTTAGTGTATATGGAGAAGCTCAAGAGTTCTGCATCAGACTAGTCTTCTATCCCGAACTACAACTAATATTAGTTGTAGAGAAGATATCGGACTAATAAATCTGTCGCTAAGCATCACCCCATACTGTCTCAGATAGCCGAAAGGTAAAGATATTCTTCTTCCGTAATTAAGGAACTTTGGGGAAGAACTCAGGCTATAAAAACAAACTGGAAAACTTTAACTTAATACTTTAACTATATTTTTCTTGGAATAAAATACATATAAGTTTCATAAAAATTAATTATGAAAAATTTTGTATTTAGATCAAATTATGGAATACATCGAATGGTTTTTGTTTTGTAACTTTTTCTGAACATACATCAACAATAACTGGACTTGAATTTGCATCAAATGGACAATTTATTGTATCAAGTTCACTTGATGGAACTGTTCGTGCTTATGATCTTTTAAGGTTAGATAATAATGAAATTCAATTCTTATATAATTCATGTTTTTCTTTTTAAAAGATATCGAAATTTTCGAACATATACATCTCCAACACCAGTTCAATTTTCATGTATAGCATTAGATGCTGCTTCTGAAGTTGTATGTGCTGGTGGTTTTGATACATTTAATATATTTGTATGGTCAATTAAAACTGGAAAATTACTTGATGTAAATATGATTTTTAATTAACAAAAAGAAAAAGAATATTTTTCAAGGTTTTTTTTTATTATTTAGATTCTTAGTGGACATGAAGGTCCAATAAGTGGATTAACATTTGGTCGTAATACGACACAAACAACATTAGCAAGTTGTTCATGGGATAAAACATTGAGAACATGGAATTTATTTGATAGTCAAGGTGCAAGAGAAACATTTCATTTATCAACTGATGGTTTGAAATTTGAAAAAAAAAAATTTCTTTTTTGTTTTTTATTTAAAAATTTGTCTAGCATTATCTTGTGCTTTTCGTCCTGATGGTCAACAAATAGCTGTATCAACGGTTGATGCACAAATACTATTTTTTCATCCTGATACAGGTCAACAAATGGCATCAATTGAAGGCAAACATGATTTAGGTTATGCAAGAAAAGATACAGACAAAGTAACAGGAAAAAAACTTACATTTGGAAGGTTAGGAAAAAAAGTTATATTTGGTTTTAATCTAAAAGTCTTGTTTTTTTTTTTTCATTCTCTAGAGCATATCGAAGTATTTCATATACACTCGATGGTAATTACTTATTAGCTGGTGGTCGTTCGAAATATATTTCACTTTATAATATTCATGAACAAATTCTTGTTAAACGTTTTGAAATAACTTGTAATAAAAGTTTTGATGGATTAAATGTAAGATTTATTGCAATAGAAAAATGATGTTTATATATATATGTTATAATTAAAGGAATATCTTAATCGACGAAAAATGACTGAATTTGGTAGTTTAGCTTTAATTGATATGGGTCAAGATGAAGATGAAAATGGAAAAAATATTCGCTTACCAGGTGTACGAAAAGGTGATCATAGTAGTCGACATTTTAAACCAGAGATTTTAGTTACTTGTGTACGATTTTCACCAACAGGTTAGAACAAAAAAAATCAATGATATGTTATTGTTGTGTTTTCTTTTTGTTTTGGAACTGTAGGACGTGCATGGGCAGCATGTACAACAGAAGGTTTACTTATTTATTCGATTGATAATACAGCTATGTTTGATCCAATTGATTTAAATGAAACAATAACACCATTAAGTATACGACAAACACTTTACGATAAAAATGATTCGTATATGGCATTACTTATGGCACTTAAACTTAATGAAAAATCATTGATTACTGAGATTATTGAAAATATTGATTCAAATAAAAGTAAGAAAAATTAAATGTTATTATTTAGTACGTCGTAATGTCAGGAAAAATATAAGATATGACTTCTCTTGATGAACTAAGTCATTTCAAATTTAAGTAGGAGAGATCGAATAGTTCTAAGAACCCCTGTGTCATTTTCTAAAGTTACGACAAAAGCCATAGTTTAAATAGGGATGTATAGTTTTAATTTATTGACCGCCGACGTTACAGACTCTGTGAAATGCACAATGGTGCCATTGTTCACTTAAGCACTAGAATACACTTCTATAGAAAAAAAACGGTATATTTTGACAGAGTTGATGTCTGAATGTTGCAGCGAACGTGGCACAGTGGGCAACTTTCATGAAGCAGGCGGACATGTAACTATTGTGCTCTGAAACGGGTTGCCATTACTCACAAATGTTTGTATATTACTTAGAAAATCGAATTTTCGAAAACAAAGCATTTTTTGAAAAAAAAATTTTCGGGATGAAACATCTGAGGGGAACCCTTGCCCAGATTTCCGAAAAAAATTTTTTGGTAGAAAATATTTTGTGTCATACATCATCCGATGCAGTTTTGCTCGCTGATTCCGAGTATCATATTTATTTTGTGGTACAATGCTATCGGAATCGAGAAAATAGGAATTCAGGGGCAGAAGCCTGGGTTTCTGGAAAACTTCTAG